GCCGGGTTAATTGCGGAATTCCTACTCTGCAAAGTGCATGCGGGCTAACACAAATTACAGAAGATGCGACAAAGTTTATCTGACTACAAGTTGACAGAACCTTCCAAAGTGTGCAATCAGCCTACATCATGCTCACACAGATCATGCCGCCGTCAGGCCTTAAGCACATATCTTTTACAACCGCAGCCATACTGAAACGGCTGATGTCCTTGCGCGAATACAGCTCCCTGGGTGCGGATGGCATTCGCCCAAAGGCGTTGAAAATTGCTGCCATGAGTTTAGCTGAACCGTGAGCAATACTCTTTCAGCAATGGTTTAACAAGATACACGTCCACATAATGTCGAAGCACTGGAGCGTCACTCCAATCTGCAAAATTGCTAGTCGGACAGAAGTAGTAGACTATCACCCAATAACACACTTTAGTTTGCCACTAACATCATAATCTCAACTGCTGCTGAGGAAGTCATGGGTACCAGAAAAAAGTCAAAATTCTAACCCTGGATCAGCATGGATTTCGCCAGCAATGATCCCGTACTACTAATCTACTGATTTCTCGTGCATGCAGTGACGTATTCATTTGCAACCTGATGGGTTCTGCATTTCCAAAAAGCACCTATCTTTCACTATCCGCTATAAACCTATCATGGCCTTAATCGTAAAACTTAATCGTCTTGATCAGTGAAATTTTGATGTCTATAGTCGAAATTTCCAAACCCATCTTCGTTCCGTCTCACTGGTAGTAGGACAACTTAAGCACCAATCAATCGCAGGTTTGTTCCAGGAAAAGCTGGTTGACGTTTCTAGCATCAACCTCTATGTTGTTCGGACGAGGTGGAAACGGTACGGATACACGTGTTTGTCACATTACGGCAGCACCTTGAAATATAACTTGACGCTGAATAAACTTGAAGGATCAGTGAAAAGGGTTTCACGATTGATACTTTTCAATACCAATGAGCTGCTTGTGCAAATTCACTGGGTGCAGTGAGCCAACACCCCCTTCTGTCCGGCGTAAATATTTGTGCAGTTGTTTACTGACACTGTACAAGGTGACTGTTTTTACTTAACCTGAGGCCCTAGTGGCTTCACAAACTGGCGTGGAGTATATTTGGACACTGGATTACTGTATGGGTTAGATGCAGACACGTTACTTGAAATCTGGAAAGCCTACATTCAACGCACATAAAGACTGGCACCAGAAAAGTGACTGGTTCACTGGCATATCTCTCTGTGTTCTGCACTACTAGTTAGTGTTATGTGGAGAACGGCCGTGTTTGATGGAACGGGCGAAATCACCAACAAATCCTGATAGTTAGTGGATGAGGACGCAGATGCAGAACAGCGCTATGATTGAAGTGTGTAAATGACCACGTCTGTAATTTTTTGCGTTATCGCAATCAACAACATATTTGTGTCACTTTGGGCTCTCAATAGGTGGCGCGGTGAGCAGTCATGGGAGGAGTATGATGATCTCATGGTCGGATTCCTTAGAGAAAAGGGACGTGCGGAATTCCATGAAAAGCATCGACCAGGTCACGGAAACAATGGTAGTGTGCATAGAGCGAGTAAACCTCACTGTCTGGAAGTGTTTACTCAATCGTAGAGCCAAGACGTTCCCGGACGAGGCGAAAAGACACCATGCCACGTTGGGCATAGTCGCAGCAAAGCAAGCATTGATCACGGAATTCGACAGCCCAACGGGCCACCAGGATGCAATGCGGCGGTTTAAGGCGGCCGGGGATGGAAAAGTTGTGGATCTCCTCATCTTTGTGGTCCAGGTCAGTGGCGATTCAATCAGCGCACAGCCTCAATAGGACAGCGTCACAAGGTAGCAACTGTTAGTGGACTAAGTTCTGCAAGTTCTACCTCTGAGGAAGGTGACTCGAGTGCGGGTTTTAAACACCATCCAGAAAACGAGCGTGGTGAAAGTTTTCAGAGTGGCCCGGGAATTCATGCACTGGGTGGTCGTGTCAGTCAAAACAATGAATGAAAAAGGCCCGAGACGATTAAGTGGGTTTGAGGAAGGGCCCGAACAATTGACGTGAGCTAATGGTGCAGTTCGGTTTCCCCTTCAGAAGACAGGGCCACGGACGGTGATTTTTATGGTAAGCTTGGACACTGGAAGCAACAATGCCTGTCAACATACACTACAACATACAACTACACTGCACTACAAGTGAAAGCTACATGGTGCATTGTTGTCGTTTCAGAAATGCACGTATAGAGCGCTGAATAATGACGCGATTGAGGCTGAATTGTGAGTGAATGTGGATACAGGGATATAAAAGGCTGATACAGAAGCCGTGGTTTCCTTAATCATTACTTCACGATAATGGGTGATGTAGCTGCTTACGAGATGTACATAAATGACATGGCGAACGTGTGACTGAGATCGCCAAACGGAAATTCAACCCCTTATTTGTCATATTACCGGACGGAAGCTTGACCATCCTGGAGGCCGGTTTTCTCCAAGTAACAGAAGCCTACTTCGAGTTGAAGTGAGGAAACTTGATGAGAAAACACCAGCCTATGGTCTCCATGGATGGAGAAGAATACACACGAGCGTGTTGCGTCGTCTCTAGATTACCCGCAGATCCGGTCTGCCAAGTAATTGTCGGCAAAATCCATCTCGTTTTCACGGATAACAGTAGTCCTTACATGTGTTTTGGCTGGATAGAACGCATAAATCTACTGACGCGTCAGCTATATTGACTGGAAGTGTCCCTGAAAGTGTCATCTCAAACCTAGGTAAAGGTCAAGTGTCAAATACAAGTGATGTCGAGTGGGAATGTAATCGAATAGCATCACATGTTGTTTAATTTCTCCATGAGTTTTGGTAGAGAAAGCCACCGGAAGCGCCGTTTCTGTGTGGACTTCAGAAGAGCGGACCAACTCTCCTTGAGTTGTTTTGTTCTTGCGCCAGCAGTCGCAGACATTTTCGACAGGCTGCAACGGCCAAGGGTATTTACTTTGTTGGACTTGAAATATGATTACTGGCGATCAAAGAGCACCCCCGAAGAGACCCAGAAGGTCGAAACCGCTTTCTGGTGCATTTCCAGACGCGTCTAGGCCAGTTGACAAGAGGAAAATATGATGAAATATCTCTAAAATTACTTAACAGTCCCACTACAAATTAGTACTCGAACATCCGTCTGTATAGCTTCTAAGTGCTTGGTCGTACACAGGCACTATGCTGAAACTCTTAGCTCCCTGGGCCAACCTCTCTTCTTCACAGTTAGTAACCGGCATGGCAGTGCAAGATGAACCGGGCGATACCGTAGACAACCGTCCGTCGTGCAGCTCCGCAGCCGTCACCTATGTCTTAGCGTCACAACCTTTTGGCATCTGGAAGGCGCACCACTGACAAGACTTAGAAGATCAAAGCATCTGTCTGGTACGTTTCCGGAATCGTCGAAGTCTGTTGACTAACAGAGGCTGCGACGAACTACTGAAATTACACTCAAATCCCCACTACTCATTAGTAAACAATAAGACCCGGAGAAGACGGTTTGCACAGTTGGTGGGAAGCAATGCCAATGTAGGAGGAAGCCGTTTCACTTATCTGGTACGTAGTTCGCCCTCCGGAGCTTGATGCTACAACTTTAAATGGTTAGGAGTTTATAGCCTTTTTCTTGGGTGATACCGTGTTGTACAGCAAATAGGAAAGGGTGCACTGACGTCCTCCGGAAGCCACATAATGACGAAACTAGCATGAAGAATGGGAGAGAAATGGGCCTAAACCTATCCGGTGATTTTCTGTGACAGCGTTTGGTCAAGAGATGGATCGGGGTGAGGTCAAGTCACTGCCGAGTAAACATTAGTAAATCGGTGTACCCCAGTTCCGACCTCAAAACGCAGTGCGGGCACTATGGTACGGTCGTCAGGAAATTAAACAGCTGCGTCTCTTCCGTGTGGGCTGTTAGGGAAGGAGAAGTAATTCATTACTACAACTAAGGCGTAGGGTGAGTTTATTTTTATTAGGAAGGGAATGAGGAGTCAGAAAATGACAGGAAGTTTGCCGGCTGCCGGAGGAAGGTTCAAAGTGGCCACACACACAAACAACGTCAGAATTGGAATGATACTAAAGCAACATCAGGAGACGAATGAACAACTCAATAGGAGTTGAACACAGACAAAGGGCAACACCTGTGTTGGAGGATGTCGTGGCCCAACCAACAAGCTACTTCTGGGGTATGGCTGTCAGAACGTGGGATGCTTTAAGCCTCGTTAACGCATTTGCGTAAGACCCTGTAGCCTTCCGGCGCATAGGGGAACAGGCCACACTGCTGTTTTGGAACTTATGATTGGTTTTATTTTTGCATACAGCTTGAACTGCTGGTCGTTTACGATACGTATTAAACTCTGAGTTGGCCAATCCTTAGGTGCTGATTAGTAAATTTTGAGTTTTGCTGTTCAGACTCGGTAGTTTCTTCGTATCTCACTTCGTTACTAAAGGCTTCAATTTAGCTTGTGCAGGATACATGTCTTCGAATGGGGGCCAACAAGTTTCGTTGTTAGTTATACTGCCGCGTGATTTGGTAGGTAAGGCGGAATCGTTCCTGTCTTGGGGACAACTGACCCTATGTATCCACAAACTACTTGAGCGGGTCAGCCGTATGCGCAGATGTTACCAACTACACAATGCCTCTTGCGATACAAGTGATTGACGCTAAGTGAGGAATTAAAACGAGTAATTTCTGTACATCAAATCGACTTAACCTTCATCAAATCAAAGACTCCGATTGCATTAGTTATGTAGAAAGGTAGTTATGCAAGTGGAGATCCTGTTTATACTCACAGACTGTGAACTACTAACAAGACAAGCTCAATGCTGTCAACCTTCATCGAGATTATTCACTCTGGAACAAATAGCGGATCTAAGCTCCTGATATCCTTCAGCCCAATTGGAACTCTCATCTCAATTATGAATGAGTGTACAGCGTTTCAAGCATTACTTCAAGTAAAAGTTATGTTTTAGAAGAGACTTAATTTAACTTACAAGTACAATTCCGGTGAGCTCAAAAATTCTTCCGCTCTCTTCAACTTGGCATCAGTTGATGTCGCACGAAAGGACCCTCCATTCACCCATCTAACTGATTCTATGTTCGTGGTGATATTGACGGTCAAACAACACTTTCTATCCTTCCACTCATCAGAAGTACAAGGTGAAAGTAGTTTCGGAGTATCACCAGGAGCCACGCTCCATTCATCCGTCTCATACACAGGGCAATCGCCAATGGTCCATTGGATAATTGGAATTGGCCTAGCGCCATCTGTCGCGCACTGTAACTGAAGCGGTTGTCCAATTTGAATCCACAATGGACCCGTCATATGTTCCCACTTGGGACTTTCATATCCATTCACAAATGTCCCTCTGCGCATGTTCAGTTGTTTTGGTGGAACTGCCAACAGAATGATCGGAAGTAGAGTACAAGTGGACTACTTAACACTCACTTTAACGGACTGTTAAGCTTTGCTGATAAATTAATAAGAATAAACGAAAAGGAGGCATTAATCGTGCGAGTTTACAATAAACTGTTAAGCTGATTGACGTAATTGGCGAACGCTTCATTGGATGGGTAGATGTTTACCCCCATCCAGTTTGTTAAATAAGTCGAGAGCTGAACCCGACTATTAATGACCAGAGGCTACAGTGGAAATAGCGTCCTAACAATCAGTTATCCGGATAATCAAGGCATACTGTGCAGTATGTACGCAACGCCTTGGCAAGCTGATTTGTTGGAGCAGACAACAGCCGATCAGTGTTTTGAGCTGGCTGTCACACCAGCAGGCACTGGTCAGCTGCAAACACTGAAGCTGGGGCTTAAAAATTCACCAACACTATTGCTCAAACAACCCCACCGTTAGCTAGTTAGCGCTGACCTGCTATCCTGAATGAATCTCATGTGCCTCTTCTGTGTCACTTAGACCAGGACATTACAACGCAACTGACCGCAGTAGGGCGGAAACACCAAGGCACTGTGTGGGTTATACCTCGAAAAGCTAGCATTCACAACGTCTAGCTGTCCAAAATGCAGGATCGTCCGTTGATGCAGTAGATCAGTGGTATCTTGCTTTGTATCTTGCGATGGACAACTGTACTTACCGGTTATACGTATACTTTCGTCAAAGTTACATGTTGTGTCGTAATAGTTACTGCAGCTCGTTGCAACGCAGACCTGTAACCTAGGTTACTCCATTGGAAACAGCCGGTTCAATTGTGAAAATTTTAGTCAGAAGCATCAATGCATTTGAATCAGAAGTTCCTGGTTAAAAGCAATGAATCGCGTGTGACTTGCTTTAACACCGTGTTTTCACACATAATTCGCTTTTTCTTGGCCAACCTATAAGAAACTACATAAAAGGTAACAAAAAAGGAAAATGTTTGCACAAGAGCACCGAACAGGATGGAGAGTTGTGCTGAGCAGTACGGGATTATGAGCGCACCTATACTACTCAGTGCAAATACTCGATCGCTGCCTGGACAATTAGATCTCAAAATCCTGGTAGATTGTAGTGAATATACTTAAGCAAACCATTCTTATGCTGCAACAACACTGACTTCCTGCCGACGTTGAAGATGCTGTTGTGGAACCTGACAGAGTTATCTCTTATCGCGTTAACCGCTTATGTACCAACGATAACCGTCTTGTTGGCCTCATCGTATGCACGATGAAATTGGACGAAATGCATTGTTCGCAACTTATTCGTCACTTAATCGTAAAATTCAAACCAATATACCCGAACGGCGATCGTTCAGTTTTGTTAGCTAAAGTCTATATTTCTCACAGAAGCCTCGATTGAAGCCTTTGACGACCGGTTCACAGCTGTCTTATCCTGAATACCAGGAGTTTCTTTGGTCCGTATTAGCTGGCGAAATTGGGATCTGACACGGAATTCATTACAAGTCTCAGGTTATAGAGCATAATACAATCTCTAACCGGGTTAGCGACAAACTTAGACCATGTATTTTCAATAATTTAAAGAGGTTTTTAATTTGTAATCAGGCACAGATTGGGAGTTCTAATCTTGGCATCATAAAGTTACCTATTATTATCAGTATCAGGGAGAATAACAAAGTGTTCACACGTTGCAAGGGGCACAGGGTCACACAGAGATCACACCATCCTCACCACATTAAGCGACTGTGGAAAAATGTTGCCTTTGCAGCCTTTTATTTATTCTATCACACAGACGTACCGAAGTCTTTTGACTAGTTAACCAGTTACCAAAAATTCTGTCTCGGCATCTACTGTCCAGGTGAAGAAATTTTCATTCCTGCAAGCAGGTTTTCGTCACAACGACTCAAACAACTTCACAAGCCCAAGGACAAAGTTTTTAACACAAAGACGTTACCGCAGTAAAATGGCTGCTGATTGACATAAAACCGAATTGTGTTGTCCAATCACACACGTGTTCAAGCCCTATTGGGAAACAATAATTGCTGAGTAATTTGGAAATTGCTGAAGCAAGTTAGCAGGGTCACCCGCGAGATCTTGCATTCCACTCAGGATGTGGAAGAACTAGGACCAGTACAGTATTTCAGTCTTCGCTATATCCTCCACTAAGTTACAGCTATCCACAGATAACCCACCTCCTTTGACCCGCCTCATGTGATAAAGAATTAATTGGGTTACGACTGAACAAAGCACCTGATCCGGACAAGTTGTACCCTATCGTTCTCAAAGTGAGTACAGTTTACTTGGTACAACATCTGGCCAACATGTACACATTGTGCTCCAAGCAACACAGATAGCCGACAATTGACGAAAAGCAAGCAGAACGCAAGTGCCGAAGAATGGAGCCTGCAAAATTCGGCCAAGCGCTTGCACATTGGTTGTTTTGAGAACCTTTGAAAGACGTATGCTTTAAAGGATCTCAGCCCAGACGCATTTAAATGATCCTCATCAACTCAGGGTCTAACTTAAATGCGCCAGTCAAATAAATAAATAAATAGTATATTCCTCGGTGATTCGAGGTGCAGTCTAACTATGTGGTCTGATCAATGATCAACAGGATCGCAAAAAATAATCAATTTGTCCACGAATTTTATAATGGATCCAAAACTGGTAGTAAAGTGATTGGCAGGATTAAGTCATTAAAGAAATTAAAAAACCAGGAACAATAACATACGCAGATTTAAACAGATGTGCAGTTAAAGTAATATGGCCACTCGTGGAACCATCCCCAGGGGACCTGTTTCCATACAAGATATTTCCTCGAATGTTTTTGCTCGCACTTCCATACAATACCTGGCCGCATGCCGGTGTGGCAAATTAGCATATGAGCCATCACCTGTTTATCATATGTTCTGTTCTTTTTAGGGCAGCTTTATACATGTATTATGAGCCATGAAGCCTCAGCCCAGTCCGTCATGCGGATCATTCAATTATGGCACTTATTTATACGCCAGTCAGTTAGTGTTAATTTGCCTTTTATAGGTAAAGTCTTTTATAATCTGTAAGCTATAATCCGTCACCACAGGAGATCAATCTAGTCGTGGCCAACTATGAAATAAGGAAGAATGTAGAAAAGAAGAATTATGTAAAAGCTATATCGTTAATTTAACAAATGGGCAGGTATGTTTTTACATCAGCGTAAAAATTGGATCGAGCCCATCATGTGATCAAATTATGTGGCGTGACATCCGGAGATAGATAACTGTACGAGTTGTCCATAAGCAAAAGTCGCAAAGGGGATCAGTTATTGCCATCACTGGATTCAAGTATATGTTTCTGGACTGTTAACTTCTCAGTCTCTCACATTATTTGCTTTCGTCCCTGGATAATAAAAATTCCGCTCACAACTGCTTCCTGGACTATGGCAACAATTCCAGCTGCATTAGCCGAGAACTACTGTTGCGTGAGATGCTCGACTCTAGAATCAAACCTGCCATTCTTTTACTGAAGGGTTATTTTACCATGCTCACCCAGTTAACGAGGTCTCTGGGGAAATCTCTTCCTCAATGACCAAAATTCAGGAGTTCATCAGCTGAAATTAAGTTCTCATTTTAACTTACGCAACCCAAACCCACGTCCCAGAAAAAGCCATCTTGCTGAAGTACGCGAATAATGTAAATCTGGGTGTCTGTCAGCCAACTTTATAAAAATCGGATAGATACAAACCTTCCTAAACAACCACACCGCTTGGTCTAACGTTCACTGGTTAGTGTTGCAGACTTTAAAGTATAAATATGCATTTCTCACTGCTCAAAGGAAATTGTTATCAATAACTCTTCACGCAGTGCCCACAAATTTGCATCGATGGTGAAGGTGGGAAGTCTTTCACGTCAATAAAATACCTGACCGCTGTGGAGCCCCACAGATGGAAAGCGCACGGCTGGCAGTACTTGAATGGCTGGACCAGTTGTACAGTGCTGTTCCGGGCGTGTGATGGCTGTCTGACTGTATGTGTCCGCACATGGCCTAGGGTACGTCAAGTATCTTTTGTGTAACCTTTTCGACTGCTCAAGACTTTGTTCCTCAAGTACTGGTAGGTTAAGTACTCCAACAATGTTGGTCCTAACAGCGTTTCTTAAGAATCACTATTTTATACCTATACTATTGCAATATTGTATTTCACTAGTTATCCGGGTCCATGGTGTGTGTTGTAGCTGAATATTTAGCATTCGTGAGTGCATAAAGTACATATAACTTGACTAGTGCTCGTATGTTACATCTTCTGTGTTGCACAGATGATAGGCAATCAGCTAGCAAATTCCAGTGTGTCACTTAGCTTCCTATCAGTTTCAGTACCCTACCTAGGACATTAATAATAAGACAACAAAACCCCGAAGCTACCTAGCCATTGCTGCCAGTGGAGCTTGACCAATATCACACACGATTGCACAATATCAGTGATAGAATAATGCTCCTATCCTCCATAAATGCACGATGTTGCAAGAAATTAAGTAAACTGCCCACTCCGCACTTATGATTAGTTGGTCAGAAAAACCCATCTTGTGATTAACAGATATAAATGATGAAATAATTCAATTACCTTCCACATGCTACTTTCATCTTTGTTATCGCAGAACACCATTATTTGTTTTTCATATACTGTGCTCAACCGATGACAGTTCGTTTAGCTGACATGCGGAACAGTCGCCTACTGGCGGTTGTACCCTTGAGCGCATCCTCTAAGGTGCTAGATAAGCTACAGTATGGATGAAGACAAGCTTTGCCTGGCTCAAGCCACAAATCCAGCCCCTTGCATGCCTGCCCCATACTTGTCTGTTCAGGAATTAAGGGCATATGAGGCATTAAAAGTGGAACCATTTGCCTTCAAAATGAAGTGCTTCTTGGTTACTTAAATGTGGCTGACCTTGCTAACAAATATGAAAGCCATACAGAGGAGATGACGACCCAAATGTCACAAGTGGATTCAACCTCTGAATGCAGCT